ATGAAAGGATTAAATATAAAAAATGAAGTTGTAAAATGTGTATAAATTGTATTAAAATTATATATATATATTGCTGACTTTTTTATTCAATGTAATATATAGATATATAAGAATCTAATGTTTTATTGAATTTTACGCACTTTGTCTTGAAATTTATTAGTATCACCACCATTATTTTCTGATAATGTCGTTCATGGAGGTTCATATTTACAAAAATCGGTGCGTTTATACACACACAAAAAATTCAATATTCTTTTTTTTTTAATAGAGTTCGCTAAATTGTAGCAAGTTTTTCCATTTATGATTAGTAAATATAGTTTTAACTTAATAACAATATTACCTAACCGATATAATAACAATATTACCTAATAATAATAACAACAATATTACCTTAACTGATACAAATTAATACAGAATTTTAAAAGATTTAAAACTTTATAAAATATTCTAATTAAAACCTTTAAAAAATGAAAATTCTTGTAAAAATTCATTATTCATTGAAAAAGAAATTCTTAAGACAATAGTGGCCATAATAAATCTTATTCATAAAAGCAGTTAAAAGCTTTTCTAATTACATAATGTCTTAATTTTATTGTATTTTTATCTTATGATTCAAAGTAGATTTTCTGTAATTAGGGGGTTCTATTTTACAAAAAAATGATTTATATTTTCCGAGGACATGTGCTTATAACTAATAAGAACATTAAGCCCTACAAAAATAAATTACTCTAAATTTCATAACATTAAAAAGTGGAGGACAACAGATGTAAGAAATATCTTTTTACCAAGATTTTCTAACAGAAAAAGTTTCTAAAATAATCTTATTCGTTTGTGAATAAGTCCTGAAAGTTTAATTAAAATACGACAATTATTTGCTTTTGAAAGTATTTCAAAATCAAAGTGTTTTCACTGCAAAAAGAGGCTAAAATACCTTATAGTAATTTATGGTCACCTGCTAAGACAAGAAAAAAAAAGATTTAACCAAGTTAAATTAGAGTTAAAAGTTAACTTTTAAAAGTAAATTAGCTAAAAGTAAATTTAACTTTTAAAAAGTAAAAGTAAATTAGAGTTATAAGTTAACAAGGTTCTAAAAACGATTAAAGAATATAATCTAAGAATAAAAAAAAGGTTTGGGACATTTTTCCATCGTTTATAATCATTTTCAGAGAATATTTATGGTATCTATCTATCTATCTATATATATATATATATATATATATATATATATATATATGTATATATGTATGTATGTATGTATGTATGTATGTATTCCTTTTACCTGGTTTATTCGTTAGTCTCCTTGAACTTTCTTGTCACCTACTTCTGCTTTTTTTCCATCTTCTAACCCCCTCTGCACCACATTTCCAAACTCCTTCTTTCTTTCTGATTATTAGGCAAACAACTCAGTTATAAACTATGACTAATTCTAATTCAGAAGAACTGAGTACCCATTACAAATACTACACTTTGATCTTGAAGGTACGATGCGGTAGGTGGTCGGTTTAACAGCCTGGATAACTGGTGGTGGGCAGTTTTTATTATGACGCTGTCTCCAATTTATTTCGTACCAACAACGACTTTATTCGCACGGATACTTTAAGTGTGAAAACAATGATAAGACTTCAGTTGAAGCTAGAAATGAACCCATTAAAAAGTTTTTATTGTCTAAGCTGGTTATTATAATGTTGGTGTTTGAAGTCAGATTTAGTAATTGACTTCTGGCAGTCAACATTCTAATGTACTGTGCACATACGTTTATATATAAGCCAAGGATCTAAAGAAGGGGGAGAGAGACACGTGAGGGGGAGAAAGAAGGAAGCCATCTAGAAAGCAGTATTAATAAAATCAGTTTGAATCTGGAGGAAAAGAGTGAAGTTTTGGTAAATATTGCTGTAACTTGATTTCCAACTAACACCACCAGAAATCTAAACCAATACAAAGAATATTTTTCTCATCATTATCTGGGGAATCGGAAATCCGAAGAAGGAAGGAAATCATGGAAACGACAGCATTATTGAAATCACTTGAAACCTTAAGGAGATTTATTGTCACTTGATCTCTAGTAAGCAGAAGTTACTGGTGTAGAAACTAAACGAAAACAAATATATAATCATCATAAGATTTCCTGGTAATCATTATATGCAGGTCAAATCATTCTTATCTGATGATGTAATCGAGGCTACTTGACACTCCTCAATAACTCAAAATTCCACACTTACCACCCCACGAAACAACATTCAATGGATGACATTTAAAACGGCGGACTTTATCGTGACATGTCACTGCATAGACAAACTAATTACAACTCAAACAGATTTAATCTTTTATTATCACATTTTCGCTTTCTTTTTCAGTTTCTTCTTTTTTCATTTTTCCTCTTCTTCTTCTTCTTCTTCTTCTTCTTCTTCTTCTTCTTCTTCTTCTTCTTCTTCTTCTATTGATTCCCCTTCCATTTCTTCAAATGTCTTTCTTCTTCCACTTTTCTGATTTGTCTTTTCATTTTCACTTCAAATCTTACTTTCTTCCTTCTTTCTATCTTTTCTCCTAGTTATACACTCGGGGATATCGGTGATTTTTATTGTATTTTAAAGCATTCGTAATTGAACTTAGTGCACCCATAGACAATATTTATGACATCTGGTTAATACCAAGATTTATATATATATATATATATATATATATATATATATATATATATATATATGTGTGTGTGTGTGTGTGTAAATATATATTGAAATACATGGATATTGTTTTCTACCAGTAGATTCATTGGGGATACAATATGGAATGCTTAAATTATCAGTGCCCATCTGTTCACATCTGTGCTTGTATGTGCGCCGAACATAGTCTAGGGAATGATTAAATAGATTGGAGCTCTCATTTCCTCCTTATCCTAGTCCAGGTGAGGTTTAAAATGTTTCGGTATTGGGGTCCTCACTCGACCCGTACGGCTTTGTGAGTCGATATCATTCTTCTGTCAGACAAACTGAGTCGTGAGGAGTTGATTTTCATAGACAGCCTCGTTAATAATGTTTATAAGTAACTCCAACATCTAATTGAGACACATTTGTATATCTGGAGGTCATGGGGCTTACCTTTTTGTTTCCAAGGTGCATTTATGTGTGATACACCGCAATTTTAGCAACGCGCTTCTAATTCCAGGCTTCTTTTCATAAAACTCAGAAATTTTTTTTCTATGTTCAAATGATATTTTATTATTCCTTAAGCTTTTTATAGATTTCTTTACTTCCTCACCATTAGGATCGTTATTGCTTATGTTAAGAGACAGACATTGTAATGCTTGGATGTATATAGTGCGTTCTAATATAGCATATATTTTCAGTTTAGTGCGGTCACTGTTGAAATGTGGTTCGAAATGTTTTTTAAAAAATCAGGACATCTCTTGTAAATCGACATTCGCTTACAGTGTGAATTAACAAAGGCATTGAACAGGATATTAATAATTGACGCTTGAGTTTATGGATGCGTCTCCAGTTTATAGATAAGAGTTCTTTACGTTCTTTTTTTATTAGCACTTTCATAAATTATCGCAACCACTTAACTTATTTCCTGTTTTTAGATAACAACACACAAACATTAATTCCAACATCTCCCCTCACCTCGATCAAAGCACGCACGCACACATACATATATAAACAAGCGCACATATGCACACCCAAATTTCATTAAATTCTAAATATGTTCGTACATAAACAACATTTGATTAATAGTCAAACATTGTGGAATATTTGATGTTTTATTCATCATCATCATCATCATCATCATCAGAACAATTTGCATTAGTCAAAACCCAACTCTCTATATATATATGCTCTATATGTATGTATTTATCCTCCTGCTTCAATTTACCTATGTAGTTACCTGCGAATATATATATATATATATATATATATATATATATATACCTTTTATATGTGTGTGTGTGTGTGTGTGTGTGTGTGTGTGTGTGTGTGTGTGTATGTGTGTGCGCGTGCGCCATCTTCTCGGGAAGCAGATATGAACTGGAAAACAAGAATTTTCTTGTGCCGAATGTTATCTATGTTAATTTTGACATTGAGGGAGAGGGAGAAGATGCAGGTGGAAAGAGTTGGACATTTCAGAACGGGTGAATGGCGGACACGTTGTCCTTGGTTGTATATGTCACGTTTTCATTTTGACAAGAAATAGAAAAATTTGGACATTGCAATAAAAAAGGTGGGACATTTTCCAGAAATAACACCAGCAACAGCAAAAAAAAAAAAAATGCAGGAAAACAGAAAGAGTTGGAATTGGGGAAAGGACAGATAAAGAAGAAATAAAAAATAATAAAAGGAACCAGAAAGAAAAGAAAAGTTGGACAAAGAAAGGAGACAGCAACGGAAAAGAATGGTTGGACATAAAGAAAGAAGAAAGAAAAGAGTTGGACAAAGAAAGAAAGAAAGAAAGAAAGAAAAAGATGAATTCATTTCACCCTTTTTTTTTCACAATACTTGATACCATGATAAAAATAAAAAATGGCTGACTGAGAAAAGAGTAGGTGAAAAGACAATTTGGATCATCGAGCAGACATTAGTGGATGTGGCGTCTGTTTTAATCGGTGTAGAAATGGGAATGTCGAACCGAGCTCAAATACTTTTGGAGTCACTTTGTACTAACGTTGTTGTAAAAAGCATGAATGTATGTCATGCCTAAAAAATGGCCCTAGAGGAGAGGAAGGGACATGGTGGAAAAAGAATGTCAGGGTTTGACATTGGCAACCACTCAGATAAAATAGGGAGAGGGAGACAGAAAACAGTGGAGAAGGCAGGGGAGATTTCGCCATCTTTCTCGGGAATTACATAGATATGAAGAAGAAGGTAACCGAAAAACAAGAAATTTTCATATAGGAAGATTAGAAATAACTGTGATAAAAAGCATGAACACACAAATAGAAAGAGTTGGACATTGAGGGAGAGGGAGACAGATGCAGACAGAAATGGAAAGAGTTGGACATTGGACATTTAAACAGAAAGAGGGAGAGGGGGCAGAAGAAAAGGTTGGGAGACAGATGGACATAGAAAGGTTGGATTTGGGGGAGATGAAGATGCAGACAGAGGAGGGAGATGCAGACAGAAATGCAGACAGAAAGAAAGGGTTGGACATTTAGGGAGAGTTGGGGGTGACAGATGCAGACAGAAATAGAAAGTGTTGGACATTGGGGGAGAGGGCGACAGATGCAGACAGAAATAGAAAGGGTTGGACATAGAAGGAGACAGATGCAGACAGATGCAGACAGGAAAGACAGATGCAGACAGAAAAGGTTGGACATTTAGGGAGAGGGTGACAGATGCAGACAGAAATAGACAAAAAGAGTTGGACATAGAGACAGATGCAGGAGACAGAGTTGGACAGACAGAAATGCAGACAGAAATAAAAAGTTGGACATTGGGGAGAAGGAGACAGATGCAGACAGAAATGGAAAGGGTTGGACAGATGCAGACAGGGAGAGGGAAGACAGATGCAGACAGAAATAGAAATGTTGGACATAGGGAGAGGGAGACAGATGCAGACAGAAATGAAAGAGTTGGACATAGGGAGGAGAGGGAAAGAGTTGGAGGATGCAGACAGAAATAGAAAGAGTTGGACATAGAGGGAGAGGAGACAGATGCAGACAGAAATAGAAAGAGTTGGACATAGAGGGAGAGGGAGACAGATGGAGACAGAAATAGAAAGAGTTGGACATTGGGGGAGAGGGAGACAGATGCAGACAGAAATAGAAAGAGTTGGACATTTAGGGAGAGGGTGACAGATGCAGACAGAAATAGAAAGAGTTGGACATTTAGGGAGAGGGTGACAGATGCAGACAGAAATAGAAAGAGTTGGACATAGAGGGAGAGGGTGACAGATGCAGACAGAAATAGAAAGAGTTGGACATAGAGGGAGAGGGAGACAGATGCAGACAGAAATAGAAAATGTTGGACATAGAGGGAGAGTGTGACAGATGCAGACAGAAATGAGTTGGAGACAGATGCAGACAGAAAAGAGTTGGACATTGGGGAAGGGGGAAAGAGTTGGACATAGAGAGATGGAGACAGAAATAAATAGAAAAGAGTTGGACATGCAGGGGAAAGAGTTGGACAGATGCAGACAGAAATAGAGAGTTGGACAGACAGATGAGACATAGAATTGGGGGAAAAGAGTTGGACATTGGGAGACAGAAAGGAGTTGGACAAAGATGCAGACAGAAATAGAAAACAGTTGGACATTTAGAATGTTGGAAAGTTGGACATTTAGGGAGAGGGAGACAGATGCAGACAAAAATAGAAAGAGTTGGACATTTAGGGAGAGGGTGTCAGATGCAGACAGAAATAGAAAGAGTTGGACATAGAGGGAGAGGGAGACAGATGAGACAGAGTTGACAGACAGAAATAGACAAGAAACAGTTGGACATTTAGGGAGAGGGAGACAGATGCAGACAGATGCAGAAATAGAAAGAGAGTTGGACATTTGGGGAGGGAGGATGACAGATGCAGACAGAAATTGACATTGGGGAAAAGAGTTGGACATAGAGGAAATAGAAAGGGTTGGACAGATGGAGAGACAGAAACAGAAAAGAAAAGAGTTGGACATAGAGGGAGAGGGAGACAGATGCAGACAGAAATAGAAAGAGTTGGACATAGAGGGAGAGGGAGACAGATGCAGGCAGAAATAGAATGTTGGACATTGGGGGAGAGGGAGACAGATGCAGACAGAAATAGAAAGAGTTGGACATAGAGGGAGAGGGAGACAGATGCAGACAGAAATAGAATGTTGGACATTGGGGGAGAAGGAGACAGATGCAGACAGAAATAGAAAGAGTTGGACATAGAGAAATGCAGACAGAAGAGTTGGACACAGATGCAGACAGAAATAGAAAAGTTTTGGACATAGAAAAAGATTTGGACATTGGGGTTGGAGGAGACAGATGCAGACAGAAATAAAGAAACATTGGGGAGGGAGATGCAAAGGGTTGGACATAGAGGAAGGAAAATGCAGATGGAGACAGAGGTGGGGACAGGCAGAAATAGAAAGAGTTGGACATAGAGGGAGAGGGAGACAGATGCAGACAGAAATAGAAAGAGTTGGACATAGGAGACAAGATGCAGAATAGAAAGTTGGACATTGGGGAGATGGAGACAGATGCAGGACAGAAATAGAAAAAGAGTTGGACATTGGACAGACAGGCAGACAGAATGTTGGACATTGGGGAGGAGACAGATGGAGATAGAAAGGTTGGACATTGGGGGAGAGGGGATGACAGATGCAGACAGAAATAGAAGAGTTGGACATTGGGGGAGAGGGCGACAGATGCAGACAGAAATAGAAAAGAGTTGGACATTTGACAGAAAGGAGAAAGACTTGGGGAAAAGAGTTGGACATTGGGAGAAGGAGACAGATGCAGACAGAAATAGAAAAGAGTTGGACATTTAGGGAGATGCAGACAGAAATGACAGTTGGACATGCAGGGAGAGGGAGACAGATGCAGACAGAAAAGAGTTGGACATTTAGGGAGAGGGTGACAGATGCAGACAGAACAGAAAAGTTGGAAAGGGGAGGGAGACAGATACAGAAAGGAAATGTTGGAGGGGGAGGGACAGATGCAGACAGAAATAGTTGGACAAGACAGTTGGACATAGAGTTGGGGGAGAGGAGAGATGCAGACAGAAATAGAAAAGAGTTGGACACACAAACAAAAAGGGTTTATTGGGGGAGAGGGAGACAGATGCAGACTGGGAAATAGAAAGAGTTGGACATAGAGGGAGGGGACAGATGCAGACAGATAGAAACAAAATAGAGAACAGAAATAGAGTTGGAGAGGGAACAGATGCAGACAGAAATTTAGTTGGACATAGGGGAGAGGGAGACAGATGCAGACAAAAATAGAAAAGAGTTGGACATTGGGGGGGACAGATCAGACAGAAATAGAAAGAGTTGGACATCAGGCAGAAATAGATGCAGACAGAAATAGAAAGAGTTGGACATAGGGGGAGGGACAGAAAGACAGATGGACAGACAGAAATAGAAAAGAAAGAGTTGGACATAAGGGAGAGGGAGACAGATGCAGACAGAAATAGAGAAAAGAGTTGGACATTTAGATGGGGAGAGGGTGGACAGATGCAGACAGAAATAGAAAGAGTTGGACATAGGGGAGACAGATGCAGACAGAAATAGGAGTTGGACAGATGACAGATGCAGACAGAAATAGAAAAAGAGTTGGACATTGACAGAAGACAGAAATAGAAAGTTGGACATAGGGAGACAGATGCAGTCAGAAATAGAAATTGTTGGACATAGAGGGAGAGGGAGACAGATGCAGACAGAAATAGGAAGTTGGACATAGAGTGAGAGGGAGACAGATGCAGACAGAAATAGAATGAGTTGTACATTGGGGGAGAGGGAGAGAGATGCAGACAGAAACAGATGCAGAAAATAAGTTTGACATAGAGGGAGGGAGGGAGATAGAAAGGAGACAGAAATAGTAAAAGGTTTGGACATTGGGGAGAAGGAGCAGACAGAAAGAAATAGAAAGAGTTGGACATAGAGGGAGAAAGGATACAGATGCAGAAACAGAAAAAGTTGGACATTGAGGAGAAGAGACAGATGCAGACAGAAATTGGACATTAGGGAGAAGGAGACAGATGCAGACAGAAATTGAAAGAGTTGGACATTGGGGGAGAGGTGACAGATGCAGACAGAAATAGAAAGAGTTGGACATAGAGGGAGAGGGAGACAGATGCAGACAGAAATAGAAAGATTTGGATGCAGACAGAAATAGAAAAGGTTGGACATTGGGGGAGACAGATAGAAGACAGAAATAGAAAGACAGTTGGACATTTAGGGAGATGGGAGACAGATGTTGGACAGAAATAGACAATGAGTTGGACATTGGGGGGAGAGCACAGAAATAGGAGACAAATGCAGACAGAAATAGAAAGAGTTGGACATAGAGGGAGAGGGAGACAGATGCAGACAGAAATAGAAAGAGTTGGACATTTAGATGCAGACCGAAATAGAAAGGTTGGACATTTAGGAGAGGTAGACAGATGGACAGAATTGGAGTTGGACATAGACAGATGCAGACAGAAATAGAAAGTGTTGAACATAGGGAGAGGGGAAAATGCAGACAGAAATAGAGGGACAGATGCAGACAGAAATAGAAAGAGTTGGACATAGAGGAGACAGGAAATGTTGACAGATGCATCAAATAGAAAAAGACCCAGGTCGAGACAGAAATGATTTGGACATTGGGGAGAAGGAAATTTTGGACAAAATCTGGCTCCAATTCCCTTCAAAATAATATCTTTGACATCAACGTCAGACACAGATTCAGTGAAATATTCTGAACCTCAGAAGCTCAACGGAAGTCCTTACTTTTGGCGATTCTAGTGGAATTTTATTTACGGACTCAAAATTTCCTTCTTTAGAAACTAAATTTAATGTTGGAAAATACACCAAAGTCATTTTGCGGGGTCCCCTTTATTTTCTTGTATTTTGTTGGCTACTGGTTGCCCTTAATGCTGATCTATCACATTCAATCACAATCGGCCTTTAAACGGAGCGTACCACTCAGAAACTAAAAAGTTTTGGTCAAGATCCTGACGAAGAATTTCGTGTGTATTATTAGCAATTTTATCGAGCTTTTACGCAAAATCTGATGCAGGAACCTTGATGGAATATTTCAGTCATTATAAAGACCTCAGAAACGTCCCAACAAAACTTCACGTAATGATATAGCATCAGTAGATAGCATTGGCAGACTGACTCAGTAAGCTATTTAAAAATGAGCTTTATCAGTGCATAAAGTCAGTGGAAATCATCTCCTGTATCTATGAGGGATTGCTAAAAAATTTTCTCAACCCAACCAAAAGATCTACAGTCAGCCAGTAAATTGATGTACACATAGGCAATCATGTCTCGTTCAACTCATGACTGATTAGGTAAGTTTTCCCGAAATTGCCCTTTCTTTCTGCAGTAGATTGGTTACCAATCAATGTTATACGTATACTCGCTCCACTTAGAGACTGGACGATCGAGGAACAACGCATCGTGCCGACAAACCTGTGCAAATCCATAGCCGGATGTTGACGCAGTATGGAGTATGCGCCATGAATCAACGAAAAGTGTATGAGTAGGGAGAGCGCTTTAAAGCGGAAAGACCAGGTGTAACGCCCAAAAGGCAATCTGGTTGTCCGTCAGTATCGCCCACGGAAGACCGACGAATCACGTTAGAACAAGTGGCGTCAATTGTGGGTATTCACTATGGATCTGCACAAGCCATTGTGCATGATGATATGGCACACCATAAAGTTTGTGCTCGCTGGGATCCCAAACAAGCAAGCGGCGGAGACGTGGTTTCGTGAGCAGCTGAAAAGCGTCTTTTCGAAGTGACAAAGAAACTCGTTGAACGATAGCAGAAGTGCATCGGCGTGCAGGTGGACGATGTCGAAAAGTAACATAAGCATTTATTCTCCATCAGTAGAGTAGAAAGTTTGCTCTATGGAATCACCTTTAATTTTGACTCTCGTACTATATAAATTAATTCTGAATGAAATATTGTTGCATCCTTATATGTTAAATGTCGTGTAGGTGCCATTGATATTTTTCCTTCATGTAAACAGTGTTCTCTCAAAGCAAAATACTGTGTCTGTACAATTGATCCAATAAACCGTTGAAGACTAAACCACGTGGTTTAAATAGTCTAGAAGTGGATATATTTTACTTTATTTTTCAAGCAGGTTCAAAGTTAATGTGCCGCTTTGACTAACTAACCGTCAGTGAATATTTGAAGAATAATCTGAGAAGTGGATATGAAATTTTCCGAATTGAGATATTCTATATACCTCAGAAGTTTTAAACCGAAAAGTCCGTTGAATCTGATAATGGGCTGCAGGTGGACGAAACAAAATTAAGAGCTGCGAATTATCTAGACCCTATACACATCCACTGCAAATGAGAAAATGTCATTTGGACTAAAATTATACTTTATTTAATGTTTCTATCATGGACTAAAGTTTTAAATTTTGTTGCATTTTAAGCGCATCTCCCAGATCGTCACTCTCCGTATATCAAAAGAAAAAAAACGTGTGTGCTTTTGTCGTGTCAGTAGTTTCACTAACTAAACGAAGCAAAATAATAATAATAATAATAATAATAATAATAATAATAATAATAATAATAAGGGTGATGAGGATTTTACAAGGGCGCTAACGGCTAGTGAATGGAAAGGCGTTTTTGTTGTCGTTTGTTTTTTACTTAATCTCTTGTGATAAGGAAAGATCGATCGATCCAAAGATCGTTCTCTCCAAATATTTTATATATATAAAGATTTATTTATCGGAGGGTATGCCGTGAAGCTGAAAAAGATGGAAGGGGTGGGGAGCTGAAAGTCTCAAAAAAGAAAGATAGAAAGAAGAGAGGAAGAAAAAAAGAAAGAGAAATATAGTTGAAGAGCGAGAAAACAGAAAGAATAAACAAAAGACACATGATGAAAGAGAGAGAGGAACAGTGTAACAAACAGACAAAGAAAGAAAGAAAGAAAGAAAGAAAGAAAGAAAGAAAGAAAGAAAGAAACAAGCAATTTAGTGCATTTGTGACCGACTAGATTGAGTGGGTCTTTTAAGTTCAAGAAATTCAAAGGCTCCATTTAGATTTTGTTGTATCTTTTCATATAAATATAGATTCTTGATGCAGTTTCATCTAAAAATATATCGTTGTTTATATAGGGTCGAAAATACGTAATGAATGAGCCTACGTTAGCCTACGGACCTCTTCAGGCATGATTTCAACCCTACATGTATCTATCTATCTATCTATCTATCTATCTCTCTCTCACTCTCTCTCTCTCTCTATATATATATATATACATATATATATATATATATATAGAGAGAGAGAGAGAGAAAGACCCAGAATTAACGCTCTATTTCAGTGAAATCGAACAATTTTTAGAAAACCTACTTTTATCTCTGTTCATGGTGTTTAATATGCATTTGAAGTGTATAAATTACTCTATTGTTTTATATCTTTATAATTGTTATAATTTTTGTTCTAATGTTATTTTCATTCTCTTTCAGGACCTTATTAATAATGAATACACAAGAACGGATCTTTGTTTTAGGTTTATCCCCAAACTAACAATAGTTTAACTGAACTTAAAGAATGCACCCAGTTAGCAGTGCATGTAATCACAGCTGAAATGCTTCTAAATGTATTTCGCAACGCTAAGGATAGATTTGAAATTTGTAGGGATACACACGCAGCACAGGTTGAAACCTTTCAATAAAATTTTGACATAAGATTTATAAATCTATTTGTTTTGTGACATAATTAAGTAATAAACTTAGATTTTAAAATTTGCCTGATTTCATTGAAATAGATCGTTAATTCCTGGATACATATATATATATATATATATATATATATATATATATATATATATATAGATAGATAGATAGATAGATAGATAGAGAGAGAGAGAGAGAGAGAGAGAGAGAGAGAGAGAGAGAGAGAGAAAATACGCTCCAGGCATGAAATTTATGGTCAGTATACAGTATTGCCTCTTATGCGCTCGCTGTTTACATCTATCTATCTACGCGTTTTTAAGTGTGTGTGTCTGTGTGTGTGTAATATAGTCAAATGACAGAAACACTGTGTGCTGAAAAGATTTCATTCCGACTAAGAAACCCTTTCAGAGATTTTATGACGTTCTGTCACTCTGCTAGACTTTAGAAAGTGAGTTGGGCTAAGAACTTTTATAATGCCTCCTCGGATATATAAATTAATAGAGGAGAAAGATAAAATAACAATGTTTATCGATTATTATGATTATACACCTGACTGGCCACATAGAGAAAGGACTTATTACAGGTCGGCCAAGTCGTATTTATTCAGAATCAGAAGCAGTCAGTTTCTTTTTCCGTTTAACAATCAAGGTCGGAAGTGTAAGATAAGGTGCTGGCGGGTGGTAGTGAAGTCAGTGAGTATGTGGACAGGTAAGAAGTTTTTTACACTGTAAATTCACGCCCACCTGGCAGATTGCGATCGGATGAATCAGAGGAAGAATGAATCAAGTTTGACATTTTACAAAAACTATTTAAAAAGTTTATATATATATATAAATATATATAATTTATTCGAAAATTATAACATAAATATGTTATAAAATCACTAGAAAAATAGACATTTTGTTTCAACACTTCTGGTGTCGTATCAAGTGATGGCG